TGCTCCCAAAAAAGTGAGTAAAATATTTGTACCAAGCGACAGTTATTAATTCAATTGCCAAATATTTTGATGGACAATATTGGTAGCGAAGGAACTAGAAATCATTTTGAAGTCTGACAAATACCCTTCGATATGGGTATTTTTGGAGTCCGCGTGACGCCTATAGTCTGGAAATCGATAACCGATACCTTCTTGAAATCCAGAAGGCGGCATCCTGTTGCAGATAAACTGAGAAATCCTATCCTACCCTTCGATATGGGTATTTCTGGAATCGGGGTGACGTATAAATACCGGAAATCAATGTCTGACGCCATTTTGAAATCCAAGATGGCGACTTACGGTTGTAGGAAAACTGGGAAATACTAGCAAATACCCTTCAATATGGGTATTTTCGGAATCGGGATGACGTATATAGACCGGATATCAATGTCAGACACCATCTTGAAATCCAATATGGCGGCTTCTGGGTATAGAAAAACTGGGAAATAATGTCAAATACCCTTCAATATGGGTATTTTCGGAATCGGGGTGATGTCTAGAGACTGGAAATCAATTTCTGACGCCATTTTGAAATCCAAGATGGCGGCTTACGGTTGTAGGAAAACTGGGAAATACTAGCAAATACCCTTCAATATGGGTATTTTCGGAATCGGGATGACGTATATAGACCGGATATCAATGTCAGACACCATCTTGAAATCCAATATGGCGGCTTCTGGGTATAGAAAAACTGGGAAATAATGTCAAATACCCTTCAATATGGGTATTTTCGGAATCGGGGTGATGTCTAGAGACTGGAAATCAATTTCTGACGCCATTTTGAAATCCAAGATGGTGGCTTCTGGTTGTAGAAAAACTGGGAAATACTGTCAAATACCCTTCAATATGGGTATTTTTGGTATCGGGATGACGTATAAAGACCGGAAATCATTGCTAGACACCATCTTGAAATCCAAGATGGCGGCTTCCGGTTGTAGGAAAACTGGAAAATACTAGCAAATACTCTTCAATATGGGTATTTTCGGAATGGGGATGACCAATTTAGACCGAATATCAATGTCAGACACCATCTTGAAATCCAATATGGCAACTTCGGGTTATAGGAAAACTGAGAAATAGTAGCAAATACCCTTCAATATGGGTATTTTTGGAATCAGGATGAGGTTTATAGAACGGATATCAATGTCAGACACCATCTTGAAATCCAAGATGGCGGCTTCCGGTTATAGAAAAACTGGGAAATAATGTCAAATATCTTTCAATATGGGTATTTTTGGAATCGGGGTGATGTCTAGAGAGTGGAAATCAGTGTCAGACGCCATTTTTAAATCCAATATGGCGGCTTCCGGTTTTAGAAAAACTGGGAAATAATGCCAAATATCCTTTACTATGGGTATTTTTGGAATCAGGATGACGTATACATACCCGAAATCAATGTCTGACGGCATCTTGAAATCCAAGATGGCGGCTTCCGGTTATAGAAAAACTGGAAAATAATGTCAAATATCTTTCAATGTGGGTATTTTTTGAATCGGGATGACATATAAAGACCAGAAATCAATGTCTGACGCTATCTTGAAATCCAAGATGGCGGCTTCTGGTTGTAGAAAAACTGGGAAATACTAGCAAATACCCTTCAATATGGGTATTTTTGGAATCGTGATGACGTATAAAGACCGGAAATCAATGTCTGACCCCATCTTGAACCAAGAAGACGTGTAGATGCCGAAAATGAATGTCCGTTGCCGTTTTGGAATCTAATATGGTGGCCATTGGGTTGAAAAAAAGTGTCAAAAACCCTACAATATGGGTATTTTTGAAATAGGGACGACGTGTAGATGCCGAAAATTGATGTCCGAAGCCATTATGGAATCCCCGATGCTGACCATATCGTATAATATTTTACACTTTTTCTAAAACAGGTGGTCACCATCTTGCATTCAAAAATGGCGTTGTACATCGATATTCGGCCTACACGCGTCATTTCTGAGGTGATAACACCCATATTGTAAGGTATTTCACAAGTTTTTAAAAGCCAATGCCTGCCATCTTGGAATCCAATAAGATGTTGGACATCGATTTTCAGCCTCTATACATCGTCTCCTACACACTTAGATTTTTTTGACGATATTAGCACCATCGAGTAGATCAGCATTTCACTGGATCTCAGTGAAAACTTGCCGAGATTGAGCTGAAAAACGGGAATTTTGCTGAGGTCTTCGCTAACAAACAGAAATTTCTCGGTAAAAAATCTAAACGCTTATCCGAAAATACCTATATTGTAGGGTATTTGACACATTTTGAAACCAATGGCTTCCAACTTGGGTTCCAAAATTGTGTCGGACATCGATTTTCGGCATCTACCGGCCACCCCCGAAAATACCCATATTGTAGAATATTTCCCACTTTTTATGAATACGGAAGCCACGATCAATTAGGCTTCTGGATATCATCCCGATTCAAAAAATACGAAAAATGATGGGTATTTAACAATATTTCCCAATTTTTAGTAAATTGCAAGCTGCCATCTAGGATTTCAAAATGGTGTCCGATATAAACTTCCGGCCTCTAGACATCATCCTGATTCCTAAAATACCCATATGGATGATTACATATTTGCTATCAAACATGCCTATTCTAAACATAACCTGTTCGAAGTACTCCGGACACTATCCGGAGGGAAAAATAATGGATAATATACAAGTTAAAATTATCCGGATAATTTTATCTTGAATATTATCCGGAGGAAAAAAATGTGGATAGGGATATACTACGTTCATTTATATCCACTGGATAGGTCTATCCGGATAATTATATTAACAATGCCTATCTGGATAATTTTGAAGCCTACATGTTTTTAAAAAACTTTTATTTTCGATAATCTGTATTGCCCATTTTGCACCAAAGAACACCCTTGCGCTAAAAATTATCCCTCAATGTTGAATCAATAGAACTTTGATAATTTTAACTTTTATTTTTTAGAGCATGAATTTTGAGGAAATATTTTTACCGCAACAGTCTACTCTGGTGCGAAATCCGCAATCATTAATCTTATTACATTTATAGGAATTGTTTACACTGAATTTTTTAAAACATGTGATACCAGTGACTTGGTTGTGGGATGCATGCACAGCAAAAAATAAATTTTAATATTGCATCCAAGAGTTGTCAGTTTATGTAGTCTACTTTGCTTGACGAAATAAATAAATAAATAAATAAATGAATAGAATGCACTTCAATCACGTAGAAAATTTCATGTAATGTTTATGGCCACAAAAATAAACAAATGCAGTAAAAGCAGCGTAATGTCAGTTCATATTGAAGGATATTTGGCATTATTTCCCAGTTTTTCTATAAAGGGAAGCCGCCATCTTGGATTTAAAAATGGCGTCAGACATTGGTTTCCGGTATATATACGTTATCCTGATTCCAAAAATACCCATAATGGAGGATATTTGGCATTATTTCCCAGTTTTTATCTATATATATGCGTCATCCTGATTCCAAAAATACCCATATTGAATTATTTTTGGCATTATTTCCCAGCTTTTAATGTTTTTATATAACCGGAAGCCGCCATCTTGGATTTCAAAATAGTGTCAGACATTGATTTCCGGTCTCAAGACGTCATCCTGATTCCAAAAATAGACATATTAAAGGATATTTGGCTTTATATCCCAGCTTTCCTACAACCGGAAGCCGCCATCTTGGATTTCAAAATGGCGTCAGACATTGATTTCCGGTATTTATAAGTCATTCTGATTCCAAAAATACCCATATTGAATGATATTTGGCATTATTTCCCAGTTTTAATATAACCGGAAGCCGCCATCTTGGATTTCAAAATGGCTGCAGACATTGATTTCCGGTCTCAAGACGTCACCCTGATTCCGCAAATACCCATTTTGAAAGGTATTTGACAGGTGTTTAAAGGTGTTTAAAGTTTTTTTTTTAACCGGAAGCCGCTATCTTGGATTTCAAGGTGGCGTTGGTTGACGATTTCCGATCTCCACGTCACACCGATTCTGGAAATACCCACATTGCGTAATACATCATTTGAATTCACAGTTTTTCTGTACCGTTCCGATTCAAATTTCGGACGATTCAAATTTCGGACACTTTCATTTTTAATTAAATATTACATCCAGTTAGAAACAAAGTAATAATGTTAGATGATCGTGGAGGGCACTAGTCAAAAAAATTTAAAATTTACAAGACATGTGGATCATATTCGACCGAGATAATCAACTTTTAAAAGTGTCCGAAATTCGAGTTTAAGTGTCCGAAATTTGAATCGGCACGGTATTCAAAAACCGCTATTTCTACTTGACACTGCATAATATTATTCATCAAATACAATTTCTGTTTAGTTATCTGCCATCACTGGCAATTCTGAATAATGCGCACCACGCACATAAACACACAACAGTACCGGATCGGTTCTTGAATTCAAAACATCATCGTTGTGAACACAGAACACCAGTACTGGAAAATCAGAACCGCACCGTGTGCAGCGAACTGGTGAACACGGTGCGGTGTTACTTGAAACTACCAAACCGAACCGACAGCAGCTTCATACACTCGGTACAACAGATCAGCACATTGGTTATGCTTTAGAAAACCGTACCGGTGCTGTACCGGTGTTTTGCCCATCACTGGTCTTGGCCAACATAGCATTTTATGGCAGTGAATTCTGTCGGAAATTTTGTAGTCTAGTCTACACATACAACAGTGAATTCTGTCGGAAATTTTCAATCAAAAACTGGGCAGAATTAATCATAGCAATCGCCAAGAATTATATGCTGAAGCTCATGAACACCGTCAAAAATTTACTCGTTGGGCTTTATCTAAGTTCTAAGATAAAACTTAAGGTATAGAGAACATGATCGTATGAAAAAAGTGTAAGTTCCTTGGACAAAAAAAAATGCATTTATATTAGTATCCGTACTTATACTTTCTAAGACACCCTATATAAAGAAAGTATAGATGATTACGCTTACCTGCAATATCCTGTATACAGTAGTTGCTGTCGAGCTCCCTTCTCTGCCTTCCGCTTTCATCGTGTTTGATTTTTATTAACCCTTTTTTTTTACTTAAAAAAAAGAACACACTGCGAATAATTTAGCCACTTCTCTAAAACTTTCTGCACAGTATCACTTATCCATTTTTTTCTAAATTAGATACCATACCATTCATACTTCATATCTTAGCCGCAAATTCCGAACTTTGTCGAGGTCATTCACACTTGTCACTATCAACTGAAAATTCGAGCCTCAGTTGTTTGCTCCACTTATTCTCCATTGGGGTATTAATCGATTCACTTGTCAATCTTCTGACACCTTGTTTACACTCTGGTGACTCCTATCAACGGGTTTGAAGGTATTATTTTAACACACTTATATCTCATATCCACGAGAAAGAGCTTCCTGCAAACCGATGTTCTGTTTCTCACATTCTCTACTAAATAATATCGGTAACTAACTTTCCCAGTTCCGGAATGCCACCAACATGCATCATCGTTGAGACGGTAGTGAAACCCATTTGGCACCACTGAAGGTAAATACTCGCAGTTGTTTAATCAATGTTTACCCCGTAACGGAATCATCCCCAGTGCGAACCAGTCGTATCGAAGGTAACACCCACGCTTTTGGTTTTTTTTTTTTAATTCTGGATCGTTGTAGTTTTTGGCTGTGCCTCAATGAATCCAAAGAGATTTACACCAAAACAACAAAACTACAAACTGGGTCAAGTGATGTAGGGGAAATCATTCCACTTTCGGTCCTATGAACTTTTCCCCGAAAATAGTATGTTGGGTTCGTCCCTAGACTGATTCCCCCCCCCCCCCCCCCCCCGCTGGCTTCGTCGAAACGTTCGCGACGAAACAAACATGCACAATTTTTGGCGGTCTCGCACACGGCGAAATTGGCATTAAAAAATGTATAACAATCACAGAACGAAGAGGCAGTCACGCTATTTCCGCTTTTGTCTGTGCAAGTGCATTCTGAATGGTTGATTGAATTCCTTGAATCTTTCACGATCGAGGACATTGTTGTTTTCGATTTGGTTCTCAAGGTTTCTGATGATCGTAAATTTCTTCTGAATGGGGAAAGTTTGGATGAACTGCTCCGTGATGGAGTGCCATTCCTTGAAGGTGTATTGTCACGTTAAGAAACGCTTAACGAATATTATGGCTTGAGTTTCAGTTAATGTTGTTCTTTTAGAAGACACTTTCCGGTTCATGAAAAAAAAAACATTTACCACCCGACGAATGTCCAGAAGTTGTAATCGATTGAAGGTAGCTGTGAAAACCGATAGCCATCATATATCAATTTAGTTGCCCGATTTCTCTTCGCTAATCGGTTTTATGTGTGCTCTCTTCGAATGATTGCCTCGCTGTAATGGTATTACCAGACAGTTTCGGTATCTACGTGTAATTCACTCCAACGAGGTATAAATAACGTTCCGTTGTCGCTCCGGTGTCCATAGTAATGCAACAACATTGTGGTTGTTATTTTTTCGATTTAGGAAAATTTCGACTCATTTGGGGGAAAGGATAATAGCAGGTCTTGTTAACCCAATTCGGAAGAGATGACAATATTATCAATATATCGCTGGGAAGGACGGAAACTGTTTTGCATCTGTTGGTTTTAAAAATTGAGGATTAATCATTTTGTCATCATTTTTGTCCACAGAGATGGCGCTGTTCCGCTGGTAGGAAGTGATAAAAATCCCCATATAGAAATTGAGAGAAGTGGGAATAATTCGCTTTCGGTGCATATCCGGTCAAAAAAAAAGTGAACGGCAACCTAAAGAAACTAATCAGGGTCTTTGTAGTTCAGTTTTTCCCGGAAATTATTGTTAAACAAGCTACAATTAAATAAAAATGATTTTCCCCATACAGTTTTACCTGATCTACTCCCAGAGAGCCAAAAAATTCAAATTTGAGAGAGAACATTTGCTCTCACGACCTCAATCTCTCAACATGCCATGTATTATCTTGACAGTCGATTTGTGATTTCCCTTTAACAGATTACAAAATAGAGTACCTGACAGTACAAAACAGTTTTTTTTTTTTTTTTTTAGTTTAAATGATCTTTATTTTAGTTTAACTTGGACGATTACCATATAAATTTTTACTAAGTGATTTAATTGCTTTCTTCATCTTTAGGTATGGGCAAAATTCAAAATTTGTTTTACAGAATTAGTCCTAGACTTAGTACACGGTCGACCACCTTGGTGGGATTGGTTTGTTTTGTTTTTAGAATTTGAAGAGAAACTACTTAATACTACTATTTACAGCTTAAAACTAACCTACTCTACTATATACACTTAACCTACTATGTACAAATTGCTTATTAAAGCATGTTCAGAAAGATTGCATTTTTGAATAAATTTAGTTGTCATATCATCAATTTTGAAATCTACTTTGGGAATTTCTGCCTCTTGATGGAGGTCTGCTATTCTTGTGTCGAATGGACGATCTAGGATCATCCTCAACACTCTATTCTGTGCAACGTGGATTTTGTTCCTGTGGGTCTGAGCGCACGATTCCCACACCGGGGCGGCATAGAAGATCGTGGGGGCTATGATCTGTTTGTAAACAGCCAGTTTGTTTTGCCTTGAGAGGCGGGATCTGCGGCAAATGAGCGGATACAAACACCTAACCAAGGCGGAGCACTTAACTAGGGTTTTCTCTATGTGCGAGCGGAACAGGAGCTTCTCATCGAACAACATCCCGAGATAAGTAACATCAGTGGACCACTCGACCCTTGTACCATCCATTATTACGGTACAGGAGGGAGACGGTTTAAGTTTTGGTGATTGTCTGTGAAGGAACATGATCGCTTGGGTTTTCGAGGCGTTGATTTTGATTTTCCACGTGGTGGCATAATCAGTAAAGGTGTCAAGGCATCGTTGGAGCTTGTTCGTAATTTCACGAGGCATCCTACCCTTGACGGCTATCGCGGTGTCATCTGCAAACAGAAAGAACACGCAACCGTCTCCTAGAGGAGGGATGTCCGACGTGTAGATGCTGTAAAGCAGTGGTCCCAGCAGACTCCCTTGCGGAACACCTGCTGGGATCGGAAATTGTCCCGAAAGGGAACTATTCAACGACACCCTGAACGACCTTTGCTGGAGATAGTTACGGGTGATTTTCACAAGGTATGGTGGAAAGTTGGAGTTACAAAGCTTGTATATAAGTCCGTCGTGCCAGACATTGTCAAACGCCTTTTCGACGTCTAACAAGGCCATGGCTGTGGACTTGGATACAGCTTTGTTACTTCGGATGTTATTCATCACCCGCACTAGCTGATGATTGGTGGAATGCCCCTTGCGGAACCCGAACTGTTCCGGAAGAAGAATGTCATGTTCCTCCACAAACTTGTTTAGTCGGCTGAGGATCAATTTTTCGAACAGCTTGCTCAGCGCTGAGAGCAGGCTAATCGGTCTGTAGCTTGACGGTAGTGAAGGGTCTTTCCCAGGTTTGCGGATCGGGATGATTTTTGCCACCTTCCAGATGCTTGGAAAGTAGTGCAGCTCCAAGCATCTGTTGAGGATGGCAGCCAGCAGCGAGTGCACCCTCGCGCTGAGATTTTTCAACTCTAGGTTGAATATTCCGTCAAACCCGGGAGCCTTCATGTTCGTACTGTGTTTCAGCGCTGAGCAAATTTGTTCCTCTGTAATCCGTTCTTCTGGAGGGACGGCACAAGGGGAGGCATCTAACGTCTGGACGCACTGCACAACCTGGTTCTCGAGTGGACTTGGGATTGTAGAGCCAAGCAAATGCGACTGGGCAATGTGCTCCCCAATTGCATTGGCCTTCTCTTCGTTGGTGATAAGCCGTTCGTCATTGACTCTAAGTGGTGGAATGGGCTTGGGGTGAGACTTCAGCACCTTGGCAACCTTCCAGAATGGTCTGGAACGGTCGTCCAGGTTCTGAACGAGCCGCCCGAAGCTCTCGTTCCGGATTGAGACCATTCTGGAAGCGATCTGCCGATTCAGATCGACCATTTCGTATTTACGCTGCAGATCCCCAGTCCGCTGAAACTGGCGTCTACGAACATTTCTGAGCCGAATCAAGAGTTTGGTGTGGGAATCAATTGCTTGAAACTTACCCCTCACAGGAACTCGTCGAACGCACTCTTCGTCAGCCACGGATATGGCTTGATGGAGACTCTCCAGGGCCCGGTCGATGTCCTCCACTGTGTCGAGCGGTGGGTTGTCGTCGATGTGGCGGTCGACCACGCGTCGAAACTGGACCCAGTTGACTCGATGGTAGTCCTTCCGCTGGCACGGTGCAGGGGCCATGTTGTAGCCCAGCTCGGTCAGCACCGGTTGGTGGTCCGAACTCAGGTCGTTGACGGCAACCGGCTTGGCTAATCTGGTGTTTGCCAAGAACAGGTCCAGCGTCGATGGGTTGCCCGTCGGTGATGTGAAGGTTGGTTCGTCCGGAAACCAGACGGAATAGAGACCATGCTGGGAATGGTCGAATAGCAGGCGGCCGTTCTGGTTCTGCTGGTAGTTCCGCCAGGCCTCGTGCCGGGCGTTCAGGTCCCCTCCGATTACAAAGCGGGCATTGGTGTGGGTTATGATGGCAAGGTCGTTCTTGAACTGCTGTGCTGTACCATTGCTAACGGTACATTGCCGGGGGCAGTAGACAACGATGAACCGGACGTTTCCGGTCGATGTTTCCACCTCAACGCCGACGGCCTCGATGATGGAAGTGCGGTAGTGGGGTAGGGTGCAGTACTTGATGCCTTTCTTGATGATGACCGCGACACCGCCCCCCCTGGAGCTGGTGCGATCAAGCCGGACAATGCTGTGGTCGGGCAGCCAGAAGCTGTCACCGGTCTTGAGGTGGGTCTCGGTGAGAAGGCCCACGTCGATGTCGTGCTTGCGGAGGAAGTCTGCAAGCTCAATGTTTTTCGCCCCTACGGAGCGAGCGTTCCAGTTGGCGATCTTTATGGGTTCACGGTCCATAATTAGCGACGAAGGAGATGATAGCTTGGAGCTGTTGTGTTCATGTTGCGCAGGTGCGCTTGATGATGATGGCCTGGGCCAACAGTGTGACGATCTCATCCGTTGACA